TCCAACTTTGAAATTAAATTTGTCATTCCGTCTGCAACACCTCTAAATGTCCGTCATATACGCCATGAAGTATATGTTCGTCATTAGCAAAGTAGATTTAACGATGTGCGTCTGTTTGTTTTTCCGTCCGGGTGTCTGTTGAAATTAAGATGCACCCCACATAATTTGACTTAGAACTTCAAAATAGTTTGTACTATGTCTGGGATTGTTAGTACATTTAACAATATTTGTTTATAGTCCATATATAACGATATCTTCTGATATTCGGTATTTTGATATTCGGATTTTTGGAGTAGCCTCCTTGTAGGGGTAAATACCGAAATTCCGTCGAAAAATATGGTTACATATATTTTTCGACGGAATTTCGGTATTTACCCTTACAAGGAGGCTATTCCAAAAATGGACGGATATGGCATTTTCTGTTCCAATGATGCTGAATGAAATTTAAAAATCTCTATCCAATTTAAAAGCTCTACCTTAAATATTGAGAAAAATATCTAAAACTATTGGGTTTTCTTTGTATGTAGCCAAAATTATATGAGGCCGAAACCCCCAGAATTCCTTTGGCGTTTTGATTAATAAGCGAGCACTATCAAATCAGCTTTGCATTTTCACAACACAGACTGGCTATTGCACAGTGAAATTATAAGTAAACTTGCAGCGAATTGAGAAAAAATGCTAAAATTTCCAGAAATAAACAAGGTTTTTATTAACAACAATGGATGCTATTTACAAAGTACACAAATTTCTTTTGTTCAGAGACTTACAATGAAATATGATGTAGAATATTTCTCATTTGACTTTTTTAAGTATGAAGGGAGATTTTGAACTGATGGAATATGTTTTAAATTAACAGTAAAAATTCCTGGCGTTTAGATAAGATTTACGCTTCCTAGAACCTATTTATAGTAGAATTTTATGACAAATAATTTTGTGGAATATCTTGACTTGCTACCATCAGTTTTTAACTATATTTAAAAAAGACTCAATTAAATCCCATTGTAGACACGCTTGGGTGCTAACATTTTTAACTAAAATATGTCTCGTATTTTTATCTACAATTTTGCGAAGAAACTCCCTCACAAATGATCAAAATTTTGAATAATTATAACTCTTATAAAATGGTATGTCTGATTGTCTTTAAATTACACACATCACAACATTTTTATTAATCCAAGGTCTGATGTGAAGATGGGATATGTCGGTCCACTTCTTCTGGTACCTCAACTACAAAGGGTTAAAATTTTGAATAACCAAAACGATCATAAAATCCGAAAAAAGCATCCCGTTCTCTTCGAATTACACACATTACAATATTATTATTAAACCAAGGTCTGATGTGAAAATGATATATATCGGTCCACTCCTTCTGGTACCTCACCTAGGGTCAACATTTTGAATATCCGTGAAGCTCATGAAACGCATAATTAACATCCGATTCCATTCGGACTTGATACATCTCAATATTTTTTCTGGTACCTCCCTCACATAGGGTTCATGATTTTTGAAAAACAAAACCCTCCCTCAATGGTTGCGAAATAGGCATCCAACTCTCTTCAAATTTCACACATCCAAATATTTTTCCTAACGCAAGATCTTAAGATGATAATATATGTCTACCAACCTCTTCTGGTACCTCACCCATAAAGGTCCACTATTTATTAAAATTATCGGAATTTATGATTTCGCATGAAATTGGATATAAATCTTCGATTTTTTTCAAATTGTGCACATACCAATATCTTTGTCGGTATTAGATGGAGTATGAATGTGGAATACTTCGGTCCGCTATATCTGTTACCTCACGCATATTTCTATATAGGAAGGAATGAAGTGTAGGAAGTAGTCGGAATAGTCCAAATCTGGTTGTAATATTTATATCAGTCTTAGATCAGATACGAATTGGTCAATAGTGGCCGACTACTTCGGAACCTCCCCCATAAAGGGTCAACAGATTGAATAATCCGAACTCAAGGCAGACGGCAAAACCGACTATTTCACTTGTTTAGCACTACCTTCATCATACGCTGAATACACCCCCGCCCCCCCTCATTATTAAAAAAAATAATTAAATTGTTCGAGTTCAAGGTCAGATTACTTGCATTGAACTTAAAAAATTTATTCAATTTGGAAATATTTTTATCTTGCATGGATCAAGATCGAAGATTGGTCATATCAGTCCACACCTTCAAATACCTCCCCCAAATGCAGGATATCCAGTATAAAGATGATATCGATATATTCCTGTTAGTGCCACCACCACTAATATACTGCTGGCATCTCCCTCATAGAATGAAGATTGGATATGTCTAACTATCCCCTAACTTGTCCACATGTCTAAAACTCTCACCAGGGAATCAGAAAACTCACAGAATACTCAAACAATGGAGGAGAAATTCTCCGACATTTTCGACAATCCGAAATTCCAAATATGATTTCAAAATATGTCATTAGATCAGCGTAAAATTTTATGATCGTATTTTTTATCCATCTGTTTCAAAAAGATACTTCGCAACTTGAAATTTTACGCCTATATTATATCGTCAAAAAATGTTTGCTATTTTTTGAAGATTTTAACTCTGCTCACCCTAAGTACATAAATCACCTATTTCTATACTGAATTTTTTTTCGTTAAAGACCCGCTCAATAAACCAATAAAATAATTCTTACCAGTGTATCGCTCCGTTGTGACCTTTAAACTAAAATTCGGCACAAACATGATGACAGTCACCAATAAATTGAAATAAAAAAGGAGACTGGACATAAAGAAACCTTAAAATAAATTTAAGCCGAGCCAAAAAAAAAAAAAAAACTAGGAACCAAATAAGCAATCAAGAAAACATTTTCTACCCTCAAGGTAGCAACTTTGCCGAAAAAAGACGCCAAACGAGACATTGCCGCATTTCAATTTGATTTAACGGCAACATCACAACGACGGCAAGTAATCTACAAAAGAATCATTGGAAATAAGACAACTTCGCATCAAAGACTAGCGAAGGGAATAAAAAAATAAAACAAGATTGACTTTTTCTTCTGTTTTACAAGTTTAGTTTTCTATTTTTTTTTTTTTCATTTTCTTTTTATTGCAGTGATCATCATCATTGTCGTTGTTGTCAAATTGATCACGAATAATATTATTTGTCTGGTAATATAGTTTGGTTGGTATTTTGGGGAATGGACCCGCAATAAAAGTTGCAAAAATTAATGCAGATGTACAGAATGGGAAAATTCGTATAGAGTCATAGCCGAACGATTTTCCGAAGTGTTTACAAATTAACATGCAACGAAATTTTGGGATACATGATAAATTATGGATGCTATTGCTTTATATAGAGGCAACCGAAAATAGTGGACGTTCTATCTTACATGCAGGGCTTGTATATACCAAACCTATCTTACATCAGGAGGTACCATTATCTAAGGTTCACACAAAAAATTGGAAGACATTTTTTGAAGAAGTGTAAAATTTCAAGTCATTTTCAAGATGTGAAAAATTTCCTAATATATCCGACTGGAACTACACTATGCGGCAGAATTCAATTCTTTCAATAATTACAGAGAAAATCCAGCAGATTGTGAAAGGGTTTTGAAAGTTTACATCATCAACACCAAATACCAACATTAAAATAATTCCATTAAACAATGTAACTAAAATCATGAAAACACCAAATATATGGAGGTAAAATTATATTAATTAATTAAAATTAATTAAATAAATTTGAAAAAATTCCGGAAAAAATTTGGCTAGGATTGTGAAAATAACGAATGTCAGGAGGTAAAGTTATATGGGAACTATACTTGGATTTATATGGTCAGTTCTCTGCAAGGATGTTTCCTACTGGGAACACAAACTGCCAATTTGCAGAAATTTCGAGTTAAAGTTATGACTAAAACGCTTCGAACACCTTAAATCTGCCTCTACAAATGAGGGCTATACCAAATGTGGACCTATATGGCCATTTTCAAATACCAAAAGTCCTGTGGACCCAAACAACATATTAGTAAAATTTTATCAACCTTTATTTCGGTTGGAAGCTAGAGAAATTTCCACAGGCAGATAGAGGGACGAACATGACTAAACCGACATAGAATTTTGTTGTGATGAAGAATATATATTCATTGTATGGTCAAAAATGTATATTTCGAGGGGTTACAAATGGAAAAATAAACTTAATATACTCGCCATACTATGGTGGAGGTTATAAAAAGATATTACGAAAAGTATGCCGATGCTTCATTTACATGAAATCTGAGGGATATATTTTGGGGTTTTATATTAAAATCTTAACCGATTTCAACAAATTTTCAAAAATCGATTTCTATGCTGCAATTGGCACGTTGTACCGAATATTATGGTTTACATTCATATTGGCTTAAATGAAGAATGGTTTCCTTCCCACAGAAATTTAATTTCCTCTTGATAGTCCAAAGATGACTGACTGACCAACATCACCTGAGGCACTTGAAGGTTTTCTTCTGCCCAACTAAAATTGGCCCATATTGCACAAATACAATTGCAAAGAAATAACAACAAACTGAAAATGGCAACTACGAAACAAGAAACAATACGAAAGAGAAGAGAAAAAACTACACCCGAATCTCCATTTGAAGCCATTTAGCCAACTTATTTTACGTTAGAAAACAAATTAGCTTCAAGTAATATTTGAAACATTTTGCAATCTTCATCTCGTCGTTTCAATATCTTCAGATGATTGTTATGTTTGCAGATGTACAGAGAGCAGGCAGGGGAAATGTGGATAGCGTTGGTAGAAGATGGAAATACAAAATGGTAAATAAACAATAACACTTCTGTCGTAAGTCGGGTTAAAGGTTACGCTGGTGAATAGCAGCGCCCCCAATCCATTGATAGTTGACTGCTTGGCTTTTTGTCTGCTGATGATTGTTTGTATTTTTTATGCTTTGAACTGCAGTCACTTCAATTGTTTGGATTAAAATGGCCAAATACAAATGGTATTTTGTTCCTTACTTGTATTACTTACTTGCATGCCGGCTCGGCCAATGCTTCTCTTTGTTTAAAAACTAATTTATCATAAATGATCGCGCAGGCAACAAAAGAATTTTTTCGAATTTGAGCGGCTAGTTGGAATGTACACTTATGGCCCAAACAAACAACACCAGCAACAAATTATTTTTCGTTTGCAGAGATTTGGGTGCAGCCAGCTCATCTTCTTAGCGGTAATTTGTAATTATCAGCCGTAAAACCAAAATTGAAAGTATTCGCCATTTCAATCAATATTGAATTTTACGTTTTCCATTGTGGCTATGATTGAGTAATAACATTAAGAAACTTTTTTGTGGATTTCTATGAAAGTTTGCTTACCAATGGAGGTCTCCTAAATATCCGGGTTTAAATGAAAATCTATTTCAACCTCGATGACATGGCGACAAGCAAAGGGTTTGGTAGGCTATTATTCAATTTTAATCCGCTTATCTCCACAATACATTTTTCGTAATTGATTTAAAAATTCAAATGTTTTTTTTAATTATTTTTCAAATTGAAGTGCTGTATGAGAACTGAATAATTCTGAAATTAAATTCAATTCTTGTTGACAATATAAATGTAGATTGCTTTTTATAATTTAATGAAATGTGCAAAGTGTTAAGGATAAGCAGTTTTATGATTATGCAATTGACATCGTCCAAACTGGAAACTTTTCCCTCCTCCATGCTATTGAGGGTATATGTCCGCGATTATTATCCATATAAGTTTACGTTTTCCTTTAGACGACATATAACTATACCTCCCAAAATCTATATTCTGATGATTTTCGTAACATTTTCTAACGATATTGTTTAGGGTATGCAGAGTTTGTAATGGGTTCTGTCTTCTGTGGCAGAAAACTGGTGGAATAGGCACATGCTTTCTTATATAACCCAAATAACGGTACCTTCACTGGTAACAATTGAAAGTGGACCCAATGTTCAATCCTGATACTTTTATCTTTTAAGATTTTCTCTCATCATGGAAGTATTAAAAGTCCACGGCGCGGTCCGGAACTTTCCGCGATTTTACTCATTGTTTATTGAGAATAGGCCACATATTTTCGCATTATAGTAAAGCTCTCATCTGACGCTACTACCCGATTAAAGGTGTTATAAAGAGTTTCGTCATACTTTTCCACCAAATTGCCCGTGAATCCGATATTTTTATTCCTAATCGAGAGAAAATACCATGGCAAATAACTTTTTACATAGGTCCTTGTAATATGTTATAGCTTTCATACAACAGAACTTCCAGTTATTCGATATTGTGATTTTTTTAGCCAGTTATTTTAATAGTATTATATGAAAATTGTAATGTTTCCTATCCTAACATATTTTCTGTTTAAGTACAGGTTTTCATATAGCCGCTATATTCGGTATTTTGATGAACGATTTTTCAATGGAATTTTTATAATAACCGCTTGAATACTTGGTCCTAGCACTCGCATACATATTTTCAAATGTGTTACTTTCCAAAATTTAGGTGGTATTAAAAGTTCTGCTCGGCACAACTTAATTGCTTTTTTACTTGGTCAAAGAAAATGTAACTTATTTATACCCTACACCACACTGCAGCAGTAGCATTAGTTTGTTACATGGGAAAGGAAGCGATGTAAACCCATAGTTCACGATTTATTGTGACCAAATGGTTAATATTAGCCCAAATGGATTGGATTTTGGCACATGATACCGAATTCTTCTAGGCTGAATTCGGTATCATGTGCCAAAATCCAATCCATTTTGGTACTTCAAATTTGGTGGAAATCAATTCATTTATAGATATAGCGCCCAAATATATGTTTTGGGGCTTACTTCCCTCACAATCGCAATATGCACTCCAAAACAATGATATGAATGTTATGCTATGATATATGAATGTTATCGATATCGGTTCAGATCTGAATATTGCTTCCAGAAATATTTTTATCCGATTTCACAGTTATTGTGCACCAAATATAAGTTAGATCCCTACGTGATATGGTATCAAAAAAAATTTGGATCAACGTGATCCTTACGCGACACTTTGTCAAAAAGGGCTCGCGATTTAATGTTATCCTGTAAGTTGCAATTATCGAAATTGCACTTACCGCTGTCTTTTATTACGCGTCACTTTATCAAAAAGGATCGCGGACTACTTTCGATCCTGTAAGTTGCAATTATCGAAATTGAACTTACTGCAGCTTTTATTATTAAAACCACGATTTTTCTATTTATTAAAATCAACTTTATTGGTTGGCTGCTGATCAAAGAGTGTCTTAAAAACTACATTACAATATTCGAGTAAGAATTAAATTTTAAAATTAATTTGCCTATTTAACAAAATTATATTCCATGAAATCATGCCACTCTGTTGTTTAAAATTTAGTTGCTGTTACCAAAAACAATTCTTATTAATTTCGTCTACACGCGTAAAGCATTGCATGGGTTGACGAAGTCAACTACCAGAAATGCATTTTTTGGGTTCATTAAAATTAATCGGAATTTGATGTTGGGAAAATATTTGGAGCAGACAAACGTCTGCAATGCAGATTCATGAGAATTGATTGCTTTGGAATAATTATTAATAAAAGAAACTATACTTTATTGGATTAACAACTTACTGTGTGTTAACTCCTCCCCCTTTAAAAACGATTGTCCCCAATCGTTAGAAATAAGGTAAGTCATCGACCTTTTGTGGTCCTGGTACCTGCACTGTGTTTCGAGTGACTGGGACCTGTATTAATTCTTGGCTAGGGGTAACTGTATGAACGAATATTTTTTGTTTTTTCTTTGTTAAAAACCCAATTATCAATAAAAATATAGCAAAAATCGAAAATAAAGAAAAAAGGGTAAATTTAGTAACAACTGATTCTGACTTGAGTTCATGGATGGATTTAGTATTATTAATATGCAAATAGTTTAACATTTCCAAAGATAAAAGATTTATGAATTCATCTTCGTCGGGTGTTTGCTGTATTGCTGGTGGACTAATTATTGAAAATGGAGCTTCTAAATTTTCGTAAAATTTGTCATTTATACGCAGCGTGACATTTTGGAATTCTATTAAAAATGTTCCATTTAAAGATTTATTATTTACTGTCCCACTAAAATCATTAAGAAATATAATACCCGGCGAAATAGTTTCTATCTGAGGAATATGATACCCGTGAGTAATTTGACAAGATGAATTCATTCCGTTTAGTAACGGTGGGATACAAGTATCGTTGGAAATATCTACTAATTGGTCCCTTTGAAAAAATTTTACATTTTTTGTCATTATGCATTTATTTTTTACGCCATATATGCTACTATTACTTTTAATAATTTCATTAAATTTAATATTTATGATTTTATTATTTCTTTTTACAGGTTTTATCAAAAAATTTTGATAGTTTTCTTTACTAGTTAATGGTATTTTAATAATATATAAAAGTTTTTCTTGATTATACATTACTTTTAGTTTTGCAAATTCTAGGGCTTCTTCTATTGATGTTACAATAATATTATCGTTTTTAATTTTTTCTAATGCAATTGTCATTTCTTTTTTATTTAACAAAAATGTGTTTACAATATTTAACTTAGCCCATTGTATTCCAAATTTAATATTTGTTAGTTCTTCTTTTGTAAATCTTAGTTTTATTTGCATGCTGAATTTTTGATAGTCCATTATGAATGGGTACAAGGTATGATTGTGTGAAGTTAAAAAGGTGTGTGTTGCTTTGTGAAGAAGTGTAGTGAAATGTTAATGTTCTGTAAAAAGAAATATATAAAAATGAAGTCAGTTTTTGATGTTGCTTTTATGTACTATTTTTCCTGATTCTATAAGTATTGTTGTAGTGTTATTTTCTTTTACTATTTCTTTTCTAAATCTTGGAGACAATTTAGTCCCTAAACGCTTATGGATTTTTACATACATTTCATCACCTGGGTCAAATTGTTTGATTGGTTCTCGTTTTTTATTATGATTTTTAAGGTCAGTTATCTGTTTGTCTCGTAATCTTTGGATATTATCTTGTCTCGCTTTGTCATACATTTCGGGGTCTATGCTAACTCGTCGTCCGAAAAATACTTCGAGTGGTCTTTGTCCTGTTGTGCTATGTATTGTGTAATTGTATTCATAAATTGCTCTATCTAAAAGTTCTATAAAGGTAGGATATGTCCGTTCAGTTCGAAGGCAACGCATAATTTCAGCTAAGGTGGAGTGAAATCGTTCAACCTGACCGTTCACAACACTCGTATAAGGTGGAGCTTTGTAGATTTCTATATTCAATTGGTCTTGTAACATAAAAATTATTGAAGCTGAATTAAAAGATTTCTCATTATCAAAAATTATAATTTTTGGAACACCGAATAAAAATATTAATTCTCGTAAAGGTTCTTTTACATGTTCAATAGCTCTTGACATAATAATTTTGCCCTGTGCGTATTTTGAGAATTTATCCAACGCTGTGAGGACAAGTTTATTTTCCGTTTTAAAAATATCAATATGGAGGATTTCTCCAGGATATGAGGGTATTGGTGTTTCCCTTAATTCAGGTTTCGGAGGATGCCTGTCATATTTGTTTTCTTTGCAAGTAGTACATTGCTTGACGATTCTGTTAATTTTACTGTTCATACTGGGAAAATAATATTTTTCGAGAATCTGTATTTTATTTTCTCTGGCATTTCTGTGAGCTCTTTTGTGTGTGCTGATAATTATTTCATCCTGTTGGGTATTGTCTTTAATATCTTCTACTTGGAGGCTAGTAAATCTAATACGATATTTTGCAAAGTGTTGTGGAAAAATTTCTTGAATTTTTCCCATTAATGTTTCGGGTGCTTTGATGCCATTTATTACAGAGGGATTTAAGTATTTTTTCAAAATTTGGATTAGCTGTTCAGGGGTATAATCGGTTTCTGGAAGTGTATGTCTGTGGATGGTTGGGAATACAATATCAAATTTATAGGAGTTTGTTGCGTTAGGGTCAAAGATTATTTGATTTTTAAAAACGTTTATTGGAGCTTCGACACTATAAATAAGATTATGTGAGGAACTATCGTCACTATGCGTCATTTCCGACATAGAATTAACTTGCGACACTTCAGGCACTCTGGAAAGGGCATCTGCCACTTTCCTGGTTTATAAAAGAGTTCATAGTCATATTCTTCCAATATGGCTTTCCATCGCTTCATTTTGCTATTGTTGTTTTTATTACTTAGAGCATAGGTGAGTGGCTGGTGGTCTGTGTATATTTTCACTTTTGCCGCTCCATATAGAAAATTTCTAAGACTGTTAAGGGCCCATATAATAGCAAGCATCTCCTTTTCATTCGCAGCGTAATGTTCTTCTGCTTTATTCAGAGTTCTTGATATAAATGTAATGGGCTTGTCTCCTTGAGACAAAACTGCTCCGAGAGCATAATCTGAGGCATCAGTTGTTAGCTCGAAGGGCTTCTCATAATTTGGATAGTATAACAAAATATCTCTTGATATTAAGGAATTTTTTATCTTTGTAAAAGCTTCTACCGCCTTTGCATTAAACTCTATAGAAATTTTAGACGATTGTCTTTTC